GACCCACTTATCTCGGGGCCGTTTGACCCCTTGTCTTTTAGGGGCGTGAGTTAAGCTAGAGGGAGTCGTCTCAGACAGTGAGACGACGAAATAGTTATGGTGAGGTGATCGTCGCTTTAGACGACGATATTATGGCCAGAAAATTGAAGCAGAAAGGGTGTTTGGACGAGCTATGCAATGTATGTCATTGCGTAAGTGTTGGTCCTACTGCGTACAGCTGACTACAGTAAACAAAATGTCAATAATTCATTCACTCATTAGCATAAGTTAACAGAAACACTGTTTGCAGCTAGGAATTAACCCACCCTTTTTATCCACCTGATGTGGAAAACAATATAAAGGACCGCAGCAGCAGAAAGAATATTAGAGAATAGTAGAATAGGGGTAAAACATCGCGTCATGACTTGGCGATCGGCTGATTGCGTTCGGAACGTGTGGGTCCTGGCGCGAATATTGCAGTCTGTACCACTCGTCTGACATAGCATCGGTCGATGGGCGTTTCATCTTGCCGATCAGGTAATGGGGCTCCTGATATGCCGTAGCTCTCGAGTTTTTGGGCCTGACAACATCCTTTCTGCTACCCTTGAGGGCCAATGGGTAATCCTGAGGGAAAGTCTAAGAAACCATTCTTATCGTGAACTGTGCCTTTAAAGAGAAGATACATGGACTAGTGCAAATCATCCGCTCTGCTGACACTTAGTGGTACTGTAACATCATCCCAGATTGTGGACCGTATGCATAACGCCCAGGGTAGGAAAGGGGTGAGTCTCCCAGAAAAAATGTTTGAGAAAAGAAAAGAAAACGTTCAAATGGGGTTTTTGCCTTTGTTCTGTGTCAAGATAGTAGCAATGGAGCTAAGTATTTTCCTATAAACAGGTGAGGAATCGACAGTCGATAAGCATGTGATGTTTGCCTCTGCGAACTTAGCGAGAGCTCAGAGAAGCGCGACTCCATTGACTACCCACCCTGGGAAGGGAGGCCTCCCTACCTAGGGCGGGGGATGAACGTACCCCAAAAATTGAGCTGGGGCGCCGATGGTCATGTAGACCGCTACTCCGCTAATCACTACATTATACAACTGAGCGCTTATTCCCCTGATTCCTGCTGCCGAATTCGACGAGTATTGCTCTGATTTTATTTTACTTCTGCAACCAACTACCAATTTATTTAAATTGATGAGTCGTTGCTGTGGAGCAGTTTAGTTTTCAAATAAGCAGGTTTTTCTTTCTAGAATTACACCAGTTATCGTGAGCAATTTGCATCATGATCCTGGTGTAATTTGTGAAGGAAACCTGATTTTTTTCGGTTAGCAATTAGTAATTAGTTTTTCGAATGATTTATACATTGTTTTATATCGTGTTACATTTTATTCTTTGTACACCTGGCTATTCCTGTCGTGGTAGGCGGTGGCGACATGACGCTAGTCTTGGTTATGCCTTAGTCTTTAATCATTTTATTCCTCAGTTTTGTACTAAGCGCTAAATGTTGATACTAAATTGAGTGTTCTCAAGTATTACAGTTGTAACCGTGCAACCCCTACTTGTTTTGCCCTTAGCTTTCCGATGAACAATGTTTAAAGGGGTAGGCAAACTTATATAAGGAAGAGTCGCTTCTCACCTTGCGAAAACTCGGTGCCCACTGTGCTATCCATATCCTTCGATTGTTTATCCTTTGATTAGTTGAAGATGTATGATGATAGCAACAGTGAGAAAGCCCAATGTCCAAGAGGAAGAAGCATGTTGTTGAACAAGATTTACGTGTATATCATTGGTTGAAATAGGAACAGCAACAGACTGAGATGTTTCGATGCGCTGACTCGGACAGAAGCATATCTTCCAAATGTGTATTAGTGCTTTTGAAGAGGAATAAATCTTAGGAAAGGTAAAGCCGAGGGCTATGGTGTGGGGGGTAGCTACATTACGGAAGGTTGCGTGTATGCAGGGTTCTCGAGATGTGAGGATCCAGAACCGAGGATGGCGCAGAAATGTGAAGGTTGAAGAGTAGAGGAACGGGCGCGTATCGAATAAGTAATCGTGAATCGTGAATGGTTTTGGTGGGTGATATTGTCGAGTCATGGGCCAGCTATGCTGAGTCATGCGCCAGCTCGAGACAGACATCAAGGTTTCATCAGCTCCGCCGACGCACCTCGTCACTATTTCATAATACTGAGGTAGAAACCTCAGTATAAAAGGGGCTGCCTCATGGAGTCGAGGTCGTCGTCTCTCGGATGTCAGCTCAGCCTCCAGGTTAACCCCGACCCTTTGTCTAGGCTATCACCTGCCCTCTCGTCCTGTCCCCCTTATGTCCTCTCTTGTTATTCACTCATATAATGAACATATATACATACATACTCTTCCATACAGAAGTATTCCTAGATCCGCTACACTTCAGGTATAGGCCCGATCAACCTTTGATATGGAGGTCCCGGGAAGATGATTTTTTTTGAGGGGAAGGGTAAGCTATAGCTAAATTTTTTTTTCTGTAATCACATTTCCCACCCCACCCCCCCCCNCCCCCCCCCCCCCTACCTCCTCTTCCTTCTTCCCACATGTCCTATTCGCTCGACTATGTGCACATGTCGTCGGGATATTCAGGAAGATTCGAGAGATCATGGACATGGACGAGATGACGACAAAGTACAATCATATTTAACTCAGTAGAAGCAAATTAGGTCAAATAACATTTTTCAGCCACTATTATTTTTCCTACTGCTGGGAAACAATATGATAATAAGTATACGGTCGCGTATACAGGTATACGGTCGCGTATACATCAAGGGTTAAAAAGTGCCAGCAAGCACTTCTCTACTAATTGTAACAAGAATAGTAAACTTCGGTCCTGGCGACGGTCCCCTTTTATTCAAAACTGCCTAACACGTGTATATAACCCTATCAATAGAACTAGGAAAATTATTTTCCCCCATAAAAACGAGGCTAACGTGTCACAATCGCGTAACACATTAAGTTAATCTCCCGGATCCCACAACTAAGGGTGTTAATACGGACGTCCACGGATAACCCCACAGGACTTTACAAACAACTAATCATGATTCATATATTACATAAAACTACTACTAATGATTCATATACTACATAAAACTACTAATCATGATTCATATTATTACATACACTACTGATCATGATTCATGTATTACGTAAAATTACTACTCATAATTCAGATTATTACTTAAAATTATTGCACATTCATATTAAAGGACCCAGTCGCCACTGAGATCTCTCTTTTACTCTATCTTTCCGGAAAAACACTCTCATTTGCCCATGAGACGCAATAGACCATTCAGCTGACCATAATATCACGAGCGGTGGTCGCACTGCTCAAATCTCAGTCTCATATGGTGTACATCTAACAACAGCCCTCATTAATAATTGGCACTCTCTTGCTGCAAACCTATTAATTATCCGCGCACCTAACAACATAGGATCCAGCATAAGGTAACTGCCCACGTCTCCGCCGAGACGATTTTCTATTACTGAGAACATCATTAGAACAAATATCCATTCATCCAACCAATTGCACAAATTGTGGTATTTACCCAACAGTTGCGCAGATTGTGATATCTCATCGGCTGGTTCCCGATGTAGTCACTCTACCATTTTCTTTATGCAACACAGGGCGGAGGTCGTGTAGTGGCACGTAGAGCACTACATAACCCGCACGGTCTGAAGTTCAGAGCTCGGATCAATGCCCGACATCCCTCAGACAGAGTTTGATGAACACTAAGGATTCTATCCTTTAACTTTACTTGTGCAACACAGAGATCGATACAACTTCAGCTTGCAAAACATTTATTTGATCAGTTTACTACATTTCATTTGCAAAACATGGATAAACACAATTCAGGCTTACAAAACAGTTATTGGGTATCTGGTCTAGCGGATTCGCTTGTAGCATCCAATCTTCTCACTATCTCCCAACTCGCCTCAAAGATCGGCTGGTGAACAACCAGCTCACGACTCCATTGACTATTGTTGAGCATCTTCGTGTGCTGAAAATAAAAAAGTCACCAATTAAAATGCATTGTAATAATTTTTGTTCCCTTACCTCCTTTTCTTCCTTTTCCATTTGAACGATGAGCTTGTAAATAGTTTCCAGCCGCTCTTTCAGAGCGCGGTTTCGCCTGGCATCAGTCACGTTTGCCTTACACGGGTTTCTTCTCCATCTGTCGCTTGCTTGGTGTTACCAATGCGCAAAATTACTGACACTGCCCGCGGTAGGCACATCATACAGTGCTACAAATATCTAATAATTCACCGTCTAGTTAACAATTACTTTACCACAACATTACCGTAGTGTCCCTCAAGATCACAGCATGGAACTGCTTCGCGTCCAAGTAAGATGACATTTCTGTTTCACCAAATACATGGCACAGCAAACACAAAACAAACATAACCCAGTTCACAAGGTATCATGGTTTCCATTACCTCCATTTCACAAACAACCCACGTTTTTCACAAACATTTATTTCCAAGGGAAAACGAACATCTCTTTTGGGGCTCGCGAGCCTACCACGCCGACAGGGGACGCGGGTGGTGAAGTTGGTTCGTTCCTTGGATTTACCAGCTCCACGCGAATCCCGTGGTAGGGACCATACCCTATCTCCAGCATTTCCGTCTGCCGATTATTATTTCTCTAAAAGCAATTTCTTTTAGCATAACCATTATAATAGTAAACAACACTAATTTACCTCCAAACGTTGTCTGACCCTACACATGTGATGAATCGCCTCTCCAAATGCGATTAGTAGCATCTGGCGCTCGCTGTGCAATTGCCTACTGTAGGCCGCCTCAGCTTGCGCTTGAGCTTGCGCAATTGCAACGGCTTCCGTTAAACGGTTCACTTAGTACTCATACCACTGCTGTCCACCGCACACGGAACAACATATCTATAAAATGAGTACGCATATTTTAACCATAACACCCAGTAAGCGAAATACTTACTTCATGAGTAGCCGCTAGGGCCCTCTCATCACGCTGCGAATTCTGGTCTGCGCCATTGTGGTTAGCCATGATAAAAAATCTTTCAAATAAGAAACATTATTACTCCACAATAAACAAAAATCAATACCTGTGTAGAGGTAACAAGGTGAAATCTAGGAGGAAACGAAATCGAGGAAGTACCACCGCCTAGATCTGGCCGAATTAACGAAATGACATTTGCTTTCGTAAGTTCGGTACCTCGATTGATACACGCCCCTCGCAAGGGATTAACGACAGCCTCTACAAGTGTAATGTAAAATCTCCACCACCCTTCCTACCAGACGTGTAATGCTACAATCTATACAGCCACTAAACAGCAACATCAAAGACATCCTTTGCATTACATAGTTTTTTCTTCTCTTTCAACATACTACCGTTGCGTAATCAACGGCCAATAATCAGTCACTAATGGCAGCTGCTTTGCGCCTACCGTAATCCACGTCGCCAGACTAGTGTGCGAAAAGCTTGCGAAACAAGCAACTACTACGGAATTCGTACTAAAATTAGAAACAGAAACGGGATGTTACACTATACGAGATATTTTCCTCAATGATATCCGCTAGTATATAAACCACCAAGGGATCCGGAGTAACCCACATTCCTCTTCTTCATCGAAGACGGTCCACTTCGCTCAAGCCACAAACATCCAACTCCATCATCAGTTTAACCGACACACAACCTCACTGGTTATCGTAAGATCTTAAGTTCAACCTCACTGGTTATCGTAGTTCTTTAATTACTGTTTACATAACCAACTCTCTCTTAAACTAAACCCGATAGGAACACTCACTCTCTACTCATCTTTCTCGATTAGTACACTTCATCGATAGTAACCCGATTCTCGGCAATAACAACATCCCATCGCAACCTCATTCAGAACAACCTTTTCCAGATCAAACCTCTCACACTATACCTGTCTCTGACGATCCATCTTTCACTGACCAACTCTTAACCCCTCTTCCTGGGTTAGTACATTTCATCGATAATAACCCAAAGTCCCAAAGCGAAAACATGGACGTAGATAACAACCAAATCGTTGAAAGACTTGACACTGTTTTTGATTAACTCTGTCTATCTTATTGCGCAAATAAGTTACCAACATTTGCAGGGAATAAAGGAGGTGCAGGCCTAATGCATTTCTTAGAGAAACTTAATGAAATAGCTAATATTATGGGCCTAACCGAAGGCAAATGGTTCGTCTTCTACCAGCTCATCTGAAAGGAACACCTAAGGCAGTGTTTGAAAGCTTCTTTGATTTAGAAAAGCAAAATTGGCGTATGGCGATTACTAAGCTTAAAGAACATTTCTCCACTGACCATTTTCTCGACATGGCACGCGAAAAACTCGTGGAAATAAAAATGGAACCAGGGGAATCACCCGTAGTCTTCTCGAGTAGATTACGAAAGGAGATCTTAGCGCCTATCCTAATCCACATTTTGCTGACAAACGACAATTTTTGCAACATATGATTTTCACGAATGCGCTTTCTAACCCAAACAAACAACGCCTAAAACTCCTTGGTCCATTATCAACCGACTATGACCAATTGGTGCGCGATGCAGAAAGAACATGGTGCCTATTCAACTCCGACAGTAGTTCATAGCTAAAATTGATAAGGTCATCAACGCTTCAACCCCATCATATAAACAATCTCGAGCATCTTCATTTTTACGAAGCCGCAATATATGGCAAAATTCAATTCAAACTCGCGTCCTTACCAATAAATTTACCACAGAGTATTAAAATGACCGTATTAATTTTAGCTAATCTAATAATGCCTAACATTAACTTCATTCCTCACCCCAAGTGCATATTTAGGTGTTCTCATCAGTAAAAATGGCACCCGTCCAAACCCGGACGAGGTAGTCAGTATCAACATAATTTCACGTCCAACAAACGTGAAAGTAATCAAATCTTTCCTTGGAGCCTCCTATTTTCGACGCTGTATCCCACGCTTCGCCATCATAACTACACCTCTTCGCGACCTATTGCTCAAAAATGCGCCATTTAAGTGGACTGAGGCTCAAGAACAAGCATTCTGGACTCTTGAAAAGGCCCCAGCATGCCTGTTGCAAACAAACCCAAAAACCCAGGGAGAACACAGACTGCCTACGCTAGCCGATCACTAGACAAACATTAAAAGAACTATGCAATAATCAAACTAGAGGCACTGGCAGCAGTATTCGCGTTGAAGCAAGTTTACCCATATGTAGCTAATGCGCGTATCACGCTGGTGACGGATCACGCACCTCTCCAATCACTAGTTCACCGATCTGATTTAGTAAGGCGCCACGCTAAATCTCAGATCGCAATACAATCCTACGATATTCTAATAGAATATCGCGCAGGAAAGCACAACACATTTGTGATTAGTTGAGCCGTCCTCCTTAACCAAGTGACAACTCGATCATAGCGCGATCTTTTCCCTCTCTTAAAGAAATCAAGAGAGCCAGAGCAGTTCAAAATATTCAAAAATAGAGACCATATTTTGAACTTCTCTGGCTCTCTTGATTTCTTTAAGAGAGGGAAAAGATGGCGCTATGATCGAGTTGACACTTGGTTAAGGAGGACGGCTCAACTAATCACAAATGTGTTGTGCTTTCCTGCGCGATATTCCATTAGACTATCGTAGGATTGAGTTGCGATTTGATATTTAGCGAGGCGCCATATTCGACTTCTCACTACACAACTTAAGGAACTTTCCTAAGAATTTGAGAATACAATCAAAATATTCTCAATATACAACAACTTTATTCTACACCATGTAGATAAAACGGAATTGTTTATCCTCATGTGGATGTAACTACGGTCCACATTTCTGTACATGGCCGATGTTCTATAACATAGATTAACACACTCCATGAATTTCCTTCCTCCACAGCACTAAGATCTAACCACTCCGTGGAACAGTTCGCCTTTGGCTAGACGAATATCGTTATGGAAGTGGACAAGAGGATCGTTCCAAAAACTGCACAATACAAGATGGGCTACGATCAACACGATAAGGTATACCCAAAGGATCTTTCCACTGGAGACCTAGTACTTTTGAATGACGACACAGTTCGTCCCAAACTCACAAACCAGTGGAAAGGCCCTTTTGTGATTGAAGAAACCAATCGCCCCAATATCACAATCACCAACCTTGTAGGTGGCCCAGCGCGACAAGCAGTTCATATATTAACCGTTTGAAATTGTGTTCTCTTCGTTCAATGCCACTTGATGTTTCTAATACAAATGCCACACCATCATTCGAACAAAATATAGAAGCACCGAGTAGCATCGAACAACCAATAATAATAATAGAAACAGCAACGGCAAAGCTCAGCAGACTATTATGATTGAGCTACAACAAGTGTTCTCACGGCGAGAACACAGCCCTGGGTAAGTTAAAATTTCTATTTTAACTTCAAGTCCACTTATCAACACATTTCCCTGAATGGGCGGTTCAAGGAAATAAATTCTTTTTTTTCGCTGTAATATCAAAATTACGACGCTTCGTCAAGCTTACTAGTCTACTATTCGTATACCTTAACTAGACTAGTAATTAGAATTGTGCAAAAAGCTGACTATCATGTGCAAGAGAATACTGTTTATTCAAACTCCACATATTAATATTGTCACATCTAAGCGTTATATTAATAATATCCACCATGCTTTTTTTAATGGTAAGTATCATGTTGTATAACTGATATAAAACCCACTATCATACAAACTAGACCATATTGTATAAGCATAATTGAAATAGCACCACTGTTGTAATCCACTGTCACATATATTACATTTCCTCCGCAGCTGTATTCATCACCACGTAATTCTCATTCCTCGAACTCGAGGACGAGTTTTTTCTCGAACGAGTGGAACACTAGCCTTTCGTGAGGGTAACCTGTATCTCGTATCAACATCTTGTTTCGTTTGACAGTTCAATTTTCTCGCAAATTCTTGCTGACCCATAATTTCCTCTATGTCCGCACATCTCTCATCAAATGCTTATCATCATATGGATCGGTCCTCAAAGCTCGAGGACGAGCTTTCCGTAAGAAATGGAGATGTCGAGTCATGGGCAAAATATGCTGAGTCATGCGCCAGCTCGAGACAGACATAAAGGTTTCATCAGCTCCGCCGACGCACCTCGTCACTTTTTCATAATACTGAGGTAGAAACCTCAGTATAAAAGGAGCTGCCTCATGGAGTCGAGGTCGTCGTCTCTCGGATGTCAGCTCAGCCTTCAGGCTAACCCCGACCCTTTGTCTAGGCTATCACCTGCCCTCTCGTCCTGTCCCCCTTATGTCCTCTCTTGTTATTCACTCATATAATAAACATCTATACATACATACTCTTCCATACAGAAGTAGTCCTAGATCCGCTACACTTCAGGTATAGGCCCGATCAACCTATAACTTGATAATATATTTCTAGTGACTTCTCATGGCGCTTTATTCAACCCTGAGTCTTTGGAAATCCTGTAAAAGGAGTGAAATAGCCCAGCTCTTCCGCCGAATGGTAATTGATGACTATTTTACAACTAGCAAGCACAATACCGATTATCTATCCAAGATATTGTATGCAAATTTAACTTGTTCGAGGCTTTTTTCTAAATGCTTCACTTTCTTACTGTTCTCTTCAATTTTTAATTTGTTACGAAAATAATAAAAGTATGATAGCAGTATTACGATATCTGAACATAACATACTGTACGCGCATTCCTAAGTTTTCGCAACCGTCAAAATGCATTCCGTAGAACTCACTAACCTTTTACTACTTCCTTATGCGTTTTCAGGGTATAGTTCCCCTCCACTTTGTTAGAGAGCTTCCCCGGGACAAAAATCTACGCTCTCTACAAAGTCCGCTTCATTTAATCGAAAAAACGAACTCCGGATACCAGTCTAGCACTGCTTTGGCTGCAAAATACTCTGCTCCGGCATCACTTATTTGACCCACGGCAAAACAAAACTTCCTTGGAGAGACTCTCCCCTTCTCTACCCTGGGCGTTATGCATACGGCCCTGTAGTGGGATGCGCTGCATGCGAAGT